AAAAATTTCGTTTTAACTAAGTTTCAACAGGATTAGTTTACATTCTCACTTGTTTCGCCAATAAAGATTGTGAATCCTAATGAAACGAAGTCGCAATATATTTATATAAAGAGCATTAAATGAAAGGTGATCCAAGCTATGTATTCGAGTTAAATATCACCGTTGAATTAAACACATTACAGTTTCGTTGTGAATCAATCTTTATTTATGTTTGAATAGATAAAAAAAAAATGATATTTACTTTTCATTGATTCGCGTGTATATAACATACCCAGGTCGATCGTTCCGGCCACCGGATATTGCAGGAACCGGCAGGAAAATGCGGGAAAAATCACCGTATCCTGCAGGAAAACACCGGAAATAGCCGGAACATGGAAGCAGTAGTCCGGCCGGAAATTCTCCGGATTTTTTCCGGTGAATTCCGGCCAATTTCCTGTGTTTTCCGGCAGAAACCGAGCGGAAAAAATTCCGAAAATTTCCGGCCGGAATACTGCTTCCATGTTCCGGCTATTTCCGGTGTTTTCCTGCGGGAACCGGCCGGTATTTTTTGACCTGGGTAAGCTTCTTGTGTTTTGAAAAGGTCAAAAGAATGAATAGCACGCTCGATTTATTTGAAGCACTCCATTGTAATTGATAATATACTTTCATTGACTTTTTAGATATTTCTTCTTAGGATAAGATGTGGGTGTGGGTGTGAATTTAACTGAACAGAACGCCAACAACCATCCATCCAAGTAAATGAAATACAAAATTTAATTGTTCTTATTTTTTAATTTTTTTTGACGGATAGTTTCATTTCGTTTATCAATGTTGCATTTGTTGTTACATGGTCTCAATAGGTAGCCTCACGCAGTTCAATCCATCAACTAACTACAATGTTGAGAATGACCAGATGTAGACTGAACAGAGCAGAAGTAGACAAGAAAGGTACTGTTCATGGAAAGACAAAATTCTCAGTAAAAGTGACGGTTTATTTAGATGTATGTGAACAAGAACTGAGAGTGCTTATGATTTCGGAAGATGGAATGATCGATGAAGAAAGATACATCAATGACATTCTTTCAATACCTCTGAAATTCGGGAACAAAACTTTAGGAAACAGACAGGCATATCAGCAAAATGGCGCAAGGTCTCACATGCATTACCTGAGTCAAAAATGCCGTCCTGATCAGTTTCTTGAATCTATTCCAAAGATCCGTTGACCGTCAAAGTCGCTTAATTATGGACGTTAGATTATAGTTTGCAGGATGAATTAGCTGAAGTTATCTGTCAGGACCATGTAATAATAAAGACAAAACTGATAGACGAACTGAAACCTTCAGTGAAAAAAATAAACAAATAAAAAAAAAAACATTTTTGTTCTTCATGTGGCTATTCGATTAAATTTAATGCAATATTTATTCTACGTCACTCGATATTTGATAACAATATTGTCCGAAAAATATTTAAAGTAATAGATTGATTTGTGTTTTTGTCATTGTTACCAATGATCAATCATAAGATGTTAGTAAACGAAATATCAAAACAACGAAATTAACATTGAGACATTGCTCAGTATAATCATACAGTAAAATTTTTATTTCTCTCTCTCTCTGTCTTAATCAGAAATCTTCACTTCAGATATCAACTTTGATCCATGTACATTGATACATCATCCACAAATGAAATTGTCTTTTATTTGCAGCACCAAATCTACATCCCAGGTCGAATTCACCCTGTCGAATCCGATAGAAATTCGCCGGAATTTGTCGGAATCCTAACCACAGGATTCCGACAAGTGGTTCTGGATGTCGGAAAGTGTCGGAGTTTCAGGGATTTCGCAGGATCCTGATTATTCCGACATCCGGAACCTCCTGTCGGAATCCTGTGGCTAGGACGCCGACAACTTCCGACGAGTTCCCGTCGGATCCGTCAAAATCCGGTAATTTTTCCGATATAATCCGATATAATCCGACGTAATCCGACAGTCGGATCGAATCACCTGGGATAGTGGAAGTTTGAAAACGAATGCAAGATGGATACAGAATAGTGCTACTGTGATTAAAGGAAATGTACGAGTGAAGAGCGCGCCCATTGTATCGTCCGCGAAAAAAAAATCGATAAAAATAAATTTAATGATAGGAAAAAACTAAGTGTTGTATTTGATAGAACTATGTTGAATGTGTATGAAAATACTATTTTCCCTACACTTCCCTGTGATATGGTGGAGATTCACAATATAACCGGCTAAAAAGCCGTTGTACATACAGCGTGACCGTCATTTTTTAAAAATTTTGTGTAATAATTTTGTATCAACTAAATTTATGAAGCAAACTTTTTTTACTTCTCAAATTATTTTCCTCTTATTTTTCTTCGATATCCATTCAAATTTGTTCGAATGAAGTTTCTTCAAACGAAATACCAATGACTTTAATGTCGCTCTACACTTTCTTAGTAAAACTAAATTTTTTCTTGAAAGGAGAAAGTTTTTCGCTTGATTTTTTTTGAAATATTACTCTGCACTATGAGCTGAAAAAGGATCAAATTTATATGGCAAACAGTTTAGTTTTCATTGAGTTACAGCAATAACAAAATTTACAATGTCGCTCTACATTTGGAATGAACATCGTTTTTTTTATTTAGTGTAAATTTTTGTATTAACGAAATTTATGAAACAAACTTCTTTTATTTGTCAAATTACTTCCTCTCTACCCCCCCCCCCCGCTTTTCTTTTCAAAAAACAATCAAATTTGTTCAAATGAAATTTCATCAAACGAAAAGCCAATGATTTTAATGTCGCTCTACACAAAAAATGAGAAGTGTCTTAACACCTATTATTGATACTTTTTTCATCAATAAAACTTTGCCTGAAGCTAAAACTAAGGACATGTTCTGAAAACTCTTGAAGAGTTCTATAACTGTATCTGCAAAAATGATTTTAAAAAAGTCGCAGTGGAATTTTAAAAAATTGGTTTTATTTTGCCAAATGGCGTTGAAAGCTAGGTATTTGACATTGTTGTTATGATTTCTCGGAAACTGAAACAGATGGAAGGCTGATTTTTTTCAGAAGTGAATGGCCATCTTTAGACCAGTAAAACAAAAAAAAGTTATCAAAATCCATTGAGCAGAACTCGACTTATAAGGATTTTTCTTTTCGGGACTCAACGGTACAATAGGCGCGCTCTTCACTCATACATGGTAGTGGAGTGAATCAACTCTACTCTCCATGAGGTTTGCATATTGATAATGATCAAATTGTTTACACTGCTGGCTGCTACAATCATCGTATTGCGGAATGGATATGTGCTGCGGTGACTTCTCGAGTTGTGGTCGGTGAAAATGGACAAAGAAACCGTCCTGATCAATTACAGTATCGAGCAGATGCAACTATTATCCCATCATTTGTGATTATGGTAATAAAAACGTGGTTCGATGGCCTCATCAAAATGATACAAATGGAGAAACAATCATCTGCAATATTGGATACTCGGGATTGACAAAAAACGGTAATAATAATGGCTTTCTCTATGTTGTTGATAGAGATAACAATGAAGTTAAACGATTTAGAATTAAGGTCCAGATTGATGAACAGTATTGAAAAATGATTGAATTTTTCCTACCGATCACGCATTTCAATTAAACAATTGGTCACGGTAGCCTGTTAAAACCACTGCAAAGTCTGACAACTCTCTGAAAATCTGATTGAATAACTAAGATCTACGTCGAATATCTGAATCAGAGCAGTATCTTACTCGATTACTGTTTAATTCGTAGGTTTTCTCTTGAACATGATGGTCAATTGGAATGAAAATAGTCAATTGAAGATTTTTTTCCTCAAAAACTATTGTAGAAAAAACAAATTCATTGAAAAAGATAAAATGTGTTTGATTAGATTTTGCTTCACGTTCGAAATGAAAAAAGAAATCTAAATAAAAGCTGAAGAAATATTAATCATTGCGTCATGAAATACTGAAGATTATTTAGTCGACATTGATTCACAATAGTCATTGAGAAATTTGATATAAGAAAATAATTTTACGATGACGAGAATTTATGTCTAATCAAAGTTCAATCAAATCATATAAACAGATTGTAATCAAAACCAAAATTTTTTGAACTCCTAAGAAAATACTCGTTTCATAATGCCAGAACGAGAAACTGATGGGGTGTGGATGTGTAGATGAGTAGACAAACGAATCTTCGCACCCATACCTTCAAGAAATAAGTAAACAGATGAATAGACGAGGAATATTTTGTCATAATTTAGATCTATAACAAATATTCGTAAGATCAGCTATTGAGTGAGTAGAAGAAATAGATAATATGTTAATTATTTTGATTGATAAGATATAAATTTTCGAAGGTTGTTTCGTTCATTTTTTTTCATTCTCACGAAATTTTCTTTATCCTTTAAATGAATTAGCTTGTTATTTCAATCTTTCGGTTACTTGAAAGAAACAAATTGAAATAAAAAGCATAAAATAAAAGTGAAAAAACCAGAATTGTTGTTTTTTTTCATGATGCAAGACAAGATTATTATTTGATGATTTTGATTTACTCAATTGACTTGTTGTTGATGTTTTATTATTAAGATTTATCTAAATAAAATATAAGAATAACAAATATTTTCGTATACAATAAGACAAACTTTTTCTTCTAAGCAAATATTACACAGAGTATTTGATGTAGGTGATTTTCATCTTATTCGTTTTATTTCTTGAAATACTTGCGAAATTAAAACAACTGATAATGATGATGAATAAAAAGGAAAAGAAAGAGGTAAAATTGAAAGTTGAATATCTTTTGTTTTTCTTTCTGATCTTCTTTTTTTTGTTCAATTGATTCATCAAAAATTCTTTTGTACTAATATTAGTTTTCCAGACTTTGTTTCATATTTAATCGTTAATTGTATAGCGATTGAATTTATCAACTTATGAATTTGAAAAAGCATGACATTCTCGAGTCCATTTAAAAGAAAACTAAACAACAAGCATTAATTAGAATTTATTTATTTTTTCTTCTCAACGTGCGACAATCATTTTAATTAAACATTGGTTTTCATTATTCGGATATACTTCATCATCAATTGTATTAATAAATAATTTCATTTTAAGATAGCTTCTCTAAATATTAAAAAAATAGAATTTTGGAGAAAAAAAAGCCGAGCGTCAAGGTGAGCTTGTTCACTATTAATTGGTGTAAATCTCATGCAAGAGAAATATTTGGAACAGGGGATCATGGAAAAAGCGCAAGATATGATTGAACACGAAATTAGAACAGATATTTTTAGAATTAAATAGAAATAAAAAAAACTAAGAATAAAAGCAAAACAAAGTTGTCGAAATTTATTTTGTTTTTGATCTTATTAGTAATGCATCTGTTAAATCATGATTCTTTTAGAGGGTGTGGATGTTAAGTATCTTTTCAATTACGTTCACACTTGCACCCACACCCACACCTTGCTATACACTTTTTGTTTAATAAACGAAAATATGTTCGATTGATAGTGACAATTTTATTGTAATTAAATTAAAAAAAAATAGGATAAAAATACAAAAGTGAGAAGAAAAGAAATGAGCATGAGTGCTAGCTATGTATAATAAATTACACAGCCTCACCCTCAAGATAGAAAAAAAATGAAAAAAAAAACAGAAAAAAATATAATCATGTCCTTCGAAAGTTCTTGATTATTGAGGTAACAATGATCAGCTAGATTAGTATTTTCTGCAAACGAAAAAAAAAAAGATTTACTAAATTTTATTGTACAACAGGAATAAATGCCTAACTTACAGATTTAACTCGGAAGATATCATTGAAATGTGTTTCTTGCATTGGAAAAACTTGGGGTCCTATCCAACAAAAGTCTAGTAAAAGATGAAGTTCTTTTACAATCATATTGATATTTGAAAAAAAACTGCAAAGCTCACTACACTGACAAGATAACTTCTTGAGACGTCCAGTCGTTTATGGACAAAGACTATATACAGTCGATAAGGACTAATCTGCTTATCTTCACCTGTAATCGTAATTTACAGTAAAGACATACGATCCAAGCACAGCGGAAAATTCAGCCACCCATCAACTGAACAATAGGAGTAATGAGATCGATCAGTCATAATATAACAAATTTTAAGAAACCAACTAAGAAAACTTAGGCATGTAAAGAATCCAAGTCTTATGGGTAGGATTCGGATTCGTGCTTGAGAAAAATTGTCTCATTTACTGAATACACGAAAAATTAGTAAGTCAAACAAAGATTTCATTCGAATACTGTCATAAATTGGGGAAAAACTATTAAGTCTAACACATCATGACTGAAGATCATATGCTAAATAAATAATATCTAACGAGGTTACTTTCTAATATTACGGCCTCCTTGGAAAATGACAGATATTACCTAAGGATTAAGAAATGAATACTCAATGAATGAGTAATTCTGATCAGGATTCTATTTAAATACTTTACTCATGTCTGAGAAAAATCTTTCGAGGATCATCGTATGATCTATAAAAACATATCAAATGAATAATTTATATTTCAAACGATTTGATCCAAATAGTTGCGTTATCGAGGACAAAACGTTCAGTGCTTGCGATGTGATCAAATACACATTGAAGAAGTACACTATCGAATTCGTCGATCAATAGTTCAACCGTTTCTTGTCAAAATTAGTAATTGAACAAGTCAACCTAATCAATAGTAATGCGACGCTTGAGAAAGTGGTTATTGGTATGGAGATATCAATATCGGCCTATTTCACGTACGGCTAAACTATGAGAACGTTCGCCTTTAAGTTTCATATTTCATGAGAAAAATGGCTGTACAATAGCCAATTATTGTTGCACGCAAGTTTAGTAACCTGCAATAGCGACTCTCCTTCAATGCAAATAAAGAAAACTTCAGACAGAATTCCTTCTGTATGGAAATCTGACATCCGAATCAAAAGAAGATTTATAAGTCTCTAGTCTTTAATCTCTTTAGCTGAACTATCTTTATCCCAACAAAGAACATACCCTTACTCATCTTATAGCATCGAAGTCAATGGCAGAGAAGCAAAAATTGAGAGCAACAAATAGAACTTGTTCTAATTACAGGTTGCTCAAATTCCAACATCATACATTCACACCTCAAAGTGCTTTGGCACGCTCACGATAGAGCTTATGGAGATTGTGAGAGACCTGTTTATTTGCTGCCCAAACAGTTTTTCAGCTTTTTCAATAGTTCTCTCTTTATCCTCGAATAAAAACTCGTCTAAAATATTTTCCTGCAGACCAGTAATGAATAAACATTTTTTTTTGCAGAAACTTTCGATTCATCTGTTAGTTAGATAAATAACTTAATCGATAGGCTATTTCAAACCCTCATCTCCAGAAGTGTCTGTGCAAAATGCTTGTTACATAACCATTTTTGAGCCTTGCCCATTGTAGATTCGCTGACAAACTGCCCATGTGAGAAACTGTGAAAAGTTCTTTCTCTTCTCTAACTAAAGAACTTTTCACGTTTTGTAACACAACTGTTTTTAGAGTGTACAGTACAATCATATAGTCATGATAGAAGATCTTCCATTAATAGAAATACCGACTGAAACTATTCTACGCTGTATAATTTTAAGGTATAGAATGTTTCGATTATCTAACTCGCTGATGAAAACATCTCTGAACTGCTTTCGCTTCTTCTGAAAGATGTGCATGCGAACATAGTCTGAGATTAATACATACACTTTACAGTAAATTATCGCCCAAATTATATCGTACCTTAAATTATGCAGATGCTCGTAATCTAATTCGTGGTCTACCAACAAATCATCGAGAGTTGGACAAAATCGTTTGTTACTAGTAATCAAACGGATAAGATCAGAGGATTTACGGAAGTGGCATGACGAGCAAACATTTGTAGTCGGCGCGATGCTTACTGGACAAAAAATAGTGAGCTTGATTAAATAAGAGTGGTACACTCACGTGCTAGATATAGAAAATTAAATTTCGCAATGATTTTTTCATCTTGTGAGGCAACGATCGAAACAGTTCGATTTCGGTCATCCGGCACCATTAAACACGCTGGTGTCTGGAAAGTAATTGTCTTCATATCAACGAATTCGTATGCAACATTCTTTTTCTGATTCAACTCCACATAATCAAAATAAATACGAAGTGCTTCAACAAAAACAGAAATATTGTGAATAAAAATTAGAAATTAGAGCGCACCTTTTTTTCGGTCGACTTTATTAAGAACCATCAAAATATTGTCGCCACCTGCCCAGTTTCCTTTTTCTGGTGCACATATGGCAAATTTCTTATCCTCACCATTTGTTGTGATTACCGGATCAGCAGGGGCTTCGTCTAAAAAGGAAAACAGAAGATGTCAACAAGATAGATACAGTTTCTTCTTATAATTATTACTTTTTTTATTCATTTCGTCAATCATCACTTGTGATGATACCGAAGTGTCAGAGAATATATTAAATACATTATCATCAACGCGCTTGGCTAAAGAAAAAACAAGTTGTGATTTCCACAATTGATATAATTTGATTAATTGTTTGCTGCGTTGTTTATCCGTAATACAAGGAAAATGTCTTCGATCTTTCAAATGAACATGAAAGTAGTTTTATGGTTATCATTATTTTCTTACCAGAGTCAATAATGTGTAAAGGGCTATGGGATCTGAGTTCCCTTTGTAGTAACTTCTTGCGAGTTAGGTGAAAACTGAAGAAGAAATCAAAATTGAAACAATGAAGCACTTATGTCTTTTTTTCGTACCTTTTTTGACCGCTCATGAAATCGTCATTTGTGATCGGGAAGTAGATGGCATTGTTAGAGCGATCTTTCACAACATTAGGCTCATCACTATTAATCGGATATGGATGCATACACGCCATAGATACATTTTCATTGGGTACAGTGACAGAAGCCACACGTATATATGGATGATCAATGGTTCCATACCATGTTCCTGATATCTAATTAACGAAAAATAACGGAATATTTTTCTGTGTTTGAGTAATAGACACCTAATTTGAAATACGAAAAAAAAAGTCAAAGTTAAATGAACCAAAAAACAATGGAGAAGTAGTGTGTTTTAGGTTCACAAGACATGATATAGGAAGCTTGCAAGAGAAAATGTTTAAGCACTAATCGCAGACTCGAACGAGTTGTACCCTGAGTGATAGAACTTGACGAGCTGGTTACCATGATAGCAAACGTTTTCTCCATGGTATATTCTGTAGGCTCGTCAGTTGCAGTTAACAATAGGAAATGTCACATACAAGAATATAGTAGAGAAGTTTGTATTGAGAAATACTCATGGAGAAGAATTCTTTTAGAATGGAAGTGATTGCTGTTGAAAAATGAAGAAACATCACAGTTCTATATAAAACTTTGATCTGTCTTGAAAGTGGAATATGAATCTTTCACATGTCAAAACGGTCGATATTCTGGCTCAATGTAGCTCCAAGTCGATCAAGTATATGAAACCATAGAAGCAAAGTTGATTGTGAACAAGCGTTTGAGACTTGATTGTAGCATTAAAAGTTATCAAATACAATACACAATTGAGCAAATTTAGTGTTGTCCTTCTGTTCTAAAAGTTGATTGGACCGTACTTAATTCATTATTAGGTTTTCTTAATGAGGCGTGATTCTTTTCTACCTATAAAAATCCTATGTGAGTAATACAAAACATTATCTCTGCTCATATAGCTAAACTATCTGATCAAAGTTACTTTCTTACCTCTGATTACTACTCATGTAAAATGTACTATGGGGGAAATCATTTTCTACCATCGTAAACAGCGGATTGAAGTCTATCGACAAAAGTATGATTGGTTTGTACCTGCGATAAACACTTGAATATGTTCCCTCCTGAATCTAATCTCACAAGTTTCAGAGAAGAGTTTGTGAAAGAAATCTAAATGTGCATTCTTAGCTTGTAATATATAGGAACACTCATTGTTATCAAACAAAATGATACAATTCTTGATGCCCATTGATCAACAGCAGGCTTTTTCAATCGTCTTAACTTGAATTGAAATGAAAAAAAAATGTCTGTCACCAATTGAATGAAGCTCAAATTTTGCCGACAAAGACTGTTAACAGTAGCATCGACCTCCGAAGTATTCCTCTCTTCTTAAAAGCTTTCAGATCTTCGGATAGATTTGTTGACAGTGATAACACGATCGTTACTTGCCAAACACTTTGGAAAACTGAAAAAAGCTAGCAATCTATCATCTATCCATGTCTATAAGATAATTTTATCTACCAATAGGATGAAAACTTTTTCGAACTGAACATACAGTTTTGTCTCCATAAAATTAAGGTCCTCAGATTTATGAACATAATGATACTTTTGGTTGAGACTCGAAGTTTTCTGAACTTTTCTTCGGACATAAGGAAAGGTTTTTAGCTATTTAGCACGTTGAGTGCAAATGCCTGTAGCTGATTGTTACTATCCACTGTACTTGGATACTGAAGTATTGGAATATTCAAGATATTGAGATAAGAGAGAGAGAGAGCTTTCACATCTCTTTTTTCTCGGCGGTATCCAAGAAAAGAATTGTGTCTAGAGAAACTTGATAGCAGGGGGCTCTCCAGACCAGTACTTGCCGCGACCGCGATAAAGTTGTGTGTACCTTGTATCGATGAATATCCTAATACTCATGAATATGCTGTTACTCTAATACTTAGTGACATCCTACGTACCGTAAATATCTCATATGCAGCATATACTCTGATAAAAATCTAAATAAACTATTTGTGGTTTCGGAGTTCGAGTGTCATTGAAATGCATCTACCAGTGAGATCTCTACAGATAAATAGAAAAGCTGATAATTGTATTCTTGCCTCGATCGAAAGAAAGTCAGCGAAGCTTTGATACCATTAAATATATCAAGTATGAATGGGATAATTGTCTATGGATGTTCATGCACAAAGTCTAAAATGATCTGAGTTTCATGCGTTATGTACTTGATGAAATTTCTTCTAGTTGGTTCATCGTTTCTTTCGAACTATAAAACTTTTACTTTTCTTATCTCTATTAATTGAAATCGACATTAGTATTGATTTTGTTACCTCTATAGTTGGATATTCGAGATTTAACTGATTATTATCTTCAGCACGAATGTAACGTTTAGCTGTATTTTCAGCTTGATCTAGTTCGCTTCCATATCTTTCACGAAAGAATGCCTTGGGTTGTGCAATAATTCGAAGTTGTTGCATTGGTTCAGTCATTGTGGAACTTTGACTTGGTTAGTAGATGAAAAGTTTGTAGAGAAATTCGCAAATGATAACGATGAATGCAACGAGATTGATATTGATATTGAGCTATTGGCCTTTCAAGATCGAGAAAAGCGAAACTGAACTTCAAGATCTAGAGAAAGTAAAAAAAAAAGGATAATTCGATGAAAATTTCAATAAAAAATTCCTATCATACTTAAGTCGACACTGTCAAAAACATGAGATCATTTATGACATCCTCTAGATATAAGCAAAACTGATAGACGATTACATTGTGTATTATTAACTACGAACAATATTTTACAAAGTAACAAATCATTCATGTTATCTACACTATACAGATAGCTTGCATCTTTCGTTCTGTTCATTCGTCTTCTTAATCCACGACAAAACCTAGAGAACGAATCCTATGATGATCAACTCAGTAACACGACAATACAGTGACCATTGAAGTAGTATTCGGACCGACGAATTATCGAATCTTGAAGATAACTATACAAACTCGAAACTAAATGTCTTGAAAAGAGCAAAATGAAGCATTAACGAACACATTGACTTTTCTCTCGAGCGAAATCGAATACAAGAAAACAATCATCACCAAGTTTATACAAACATGAAATACAACAATATACATAAAAGCCAACCCTCCACAACAACGATGTCACCCGCAGCACTATTCCGGTACTTTAATTTGAACCGTGTATGTGATACACAGACTGCTGCATGTATCTACCTACGGATCTGGGTATGATTAGAGAGATCAATTATGCATGTAAAATGAATCTAGTATACAGAAATTACACTAAAGCAACTAACAAGATACGATTTTCCCTAGTCTATGCCACTCCTACAGTATAGTTCGAGAAACTAATGGTCAAAAGAAACTGATTCGATACACTATTCGACAGCGAATACAAACTGGGCTTCACAACTAAGATACCAAGTTCGTACTCAGTTGTTGTTCTCAAAATACCTGTTTAATGGAATGCACATATTTTCCGTAATGAACTTAACCAACGGTATCCAGCAAATATCACAATCGAACGATTTTATGTGAAAAGTAAGAAGAAGCTACGGCAATTACTGAAAACTAAGTGAATGTTAATGGACGAAGAGTATACTAATTATGCTATTGAACCATATAGATTACCAACATGAGTTCTACGCTGCTACATTTGTCAAGAATACGACGACCACGTGGCAGTTAATTGCTAAAACAAAAGCGATCCAATATGCTTTAATTGCAATCAACATCACGCATATAATGTAAACTGCTGAAGCGCTATTCAATATGTACATTTTCAAGATGATTCTGTGACAGATAGTCCTAATTGTCCGACGAAGATGCTAAAGGTCTCTAAAGCCATTGAATTGGGTCCTATCCCAGAAGAAAATGCAGGAATAAAAAAAATTCTGGCCGAACAATAAGGAACATCTGCATCTGATAATAGTAATGAAACGAAAACAAGAAATGTCAAACCTACTTTTTATTCAAGTTTAGGTCCAGGAGAAGCATTATGCTTCTATGCAATAAACTTGTCAAATACATAGATAAGGAATCCAACTTTGACGCCAATATATTAAATCTATATCACATGATATCCAATGAAGAGACAAGTTGAACAACAACAGGTGAATCCTTATGCCGAAATATTTATTCCGAACCCGAATGAATTATCGACTATTTCTTCAGGACATCTATCTAAACTATAATCAGGGGTTCTACTCGAGTCGAGTCGTACATTAACATTGAATGAATTATTACCAAGTCGATAGTTACGACGAAAGTAAACAATGCAACTATGGTCTTAAACGCCCTGTAAATCACTCGTTTGGTATCGACCGAATTATTGTCGTGTCGTAAACGGCTGCATACCGGCACCTTTTATAGTAAAATCTGTGCCAATATATCGTCGTATTTAACCATCAACGGTAGTATAAAGTATGGTTTCGATCATATGTCGTCTTAGCATGTCGCACATATTGTCAAGAAAAGATTTCACTTATGATTACTCGATCATTCATGTCGCCTTTCAAATATACAACTACGACAACAAATATCGCGTACCAATAAAGCCGTTAAAAACCCTTTTGAGCGAAAAAATATTTTTTTTCTACATGAAAATCGCTTGTATCGATGGTATGGATTACAAAAAAAGCCTTATGATACCTAATTCCATCAGAATTCAGTCGTTCCAATTAAAAACCTCGTATTTCCAAGCTGACGCAGAGAAGATCTGTAAAGACATTTTTTAATTAAACTAATTTTCCTACAGAGAAAATCATCTCCTATCCAAATGTCACATACGAAAAAGGTTTGAAATGCCTGATTTGATCAGATTTCAATCGTGGATATGTTACATTATCTGATTGTAATGTGTGAAAAACATCTTTTTCAGATGCATACAAAGTAAACAAAGTACTGCTGTCTAACTCACTTTCAAGATTTGGACATCAGGGGACAACACGTTAGATACCCGCACACAACTGAGTCATTTTCGCTGAATATGTCTTTTAATCCTTTTTTTCCTCTTTGTGACTGCTGTGCTATGATGACTGATCCTTGATTAAAGAGAAATACGAGGGTAAGATATCATATTTTTCTTCACTCATCCCATGTTGCTGACATAAATGCCTTGAATGGATTTTTTTTTCTAGTAAAACGGCGTTTTCGAAGAAAAACTGGTTCTCGATAAGCGTTGATCTACGGCTTTCCGCGTAGAAGAACCCGAATCTATGCTGCTCGATTGACAAAACTGAGCCATTTTTTCTCATTCATGAAGAGTTTTAAGAGAAGACAATCATTCATTATATTGTGCTCCTCTAAATCATCAGTATGATAGATGTTTATGTGTTGCAAACATCGTATACAGTACCGTAGTTTTGCACTAGCTGTTAACAAAGACTCTATATACAGTGATTGTATACGATGCATGTGAAACACCATAAAAAAGTCTATGATTGTTTGTAAATAGTCACTGCATATGACTGCTCTGATTAGTGTAGGCTATGTTGCATCGAATGCAACGTTCTTCACCTCAAAAGGTGGTGAGATCCATGAGATAATCTTAAAATACAGAATAAATCATCAAAATAACCATTCATAGAGGCCAAAATGTATTTTGTATACTAGTTTGGCTTCTATTTTGTCTAGACAAAACGAAATTATCAAATACTTTGAGTTTTGAAAGGATGTTTTATTTCAGAAAAATAAGTTGAAGAAGCAGCTTTTATCTCCGAGAGGCTATCGGTAGCGGAGCCCATTGGATCCGCCGGATCGAAAAAATTTTTGATGGATCTAATAATACTTCACGGATTTCTCTAAATTTTTGTTCTCTTGATACAGAAAAGATCAGAAAAGTTTATTAAGAGATTTAAGACATCCTCAACAGGATCCGAGTCCAGAAATTCTTGACCCCGATGAGCTCTACTAGGTAGGAGTGTCACTGTAAATCTACTTCATATGTTACAGTTATAGGTAAAGCAATACATTTAAAAACTTTAACTTTAAAAAATTAAACTATATTATCTATACATACATTTGTCTACTGATCAATCAGATGTGCGGAAGTTGTTTCTTTGCTATTTTAAGGAAAAAAACCATCATGTTTTGTTCTGACAATCGAAAAAAAGTCTTGCTTAAATCTGATCCACTGAAATCTTTTTTTATGTCGACCTATTGAATTTCAATAACCATTTTTTTCTTCTATGGTGAGGATACAACATGGTATGGTTTGGGAGTACTGGGAGTTTCCAGTGTCCTCTTTAATATGACCCGACGAACTCTATTTTTTCTTTTTAAAATAGCGAAGAAACACTTTCCTTGCATCTGATTAGTCGTTAGAAAAAAGCTATCAGCCTATCAGGTTTCAGCAGAGTTTTTCCTTCGTATTTTGAAGACAAAGGATATTGTTATTAGGCTCATATCAGAGATGAGCCGAAGCAATGATTCCTCTAGAAAACAAAGATAACATTAAGGAAGAAATCAACAATGATTAGCTGGAGGATTGTAAATAATAGTATTCAACTCGAATGTTTTTAGAGTTAAAGTTCTGACGAACCGTTCCGAAACTCTACGTCGAATAAGTGTCGATATATATCGAAAAATAACTTCAATGACTCTTTTTTTTAAAATTCTTTCCCTCATTCAGATCTGAGTGAGAGTGGGCAAAAGTGTAGTGTTATGGAGATTGAAGGGCTTGGTGTGGATCGTTCGAAATTATATTTAAGTATTTGATATGTCAGAGTCTTCAAAGAAAAATGCTTGGTGTTAAGTGTCATCAATGGTACCTTTCACGATCTACTTATTAAGAATATCTTCGAATTCAACCACATCTAGTGTCCGTTGCAGTGCATTTTTCTGATACACTACTTTTTGAAATATGGCATGAGATGATGGCTCATAGGCTTATTGTGAGTTGAAATATATAGGAACTAAAGAGGATCTAAATGTAATTTTACACAATAAAGCAAAATAGTTGCTATCTGTTTCAGATTACCTAAAAACAAAAGAAAAAACATATTGTATCTTACGCACATGGTGAGGTAATTGAGGGCACAAGGACAAAATGTAGATTTACACAGTTACTCGTTTGTTTTTTAAGCGTCACACGTCAGTTGATGCACAAGCTCAAATGTAGAAAAGAAAAAAGCAAAATAATCATGTGATTAACAACAATATGTCGGGGACCATTTATAGTATGTAAAAAAATTATTGGGACCTGTTAGGATCGACATCTACAAGACATATATAGATGGATGATTCTTCGTCTTTTTCTTCTATCGCTTCCAATTCTAGATATTAAAACTTTGAAATTATTTTTTTTCTGTCAAGTAATAAAAAATATACAATTTGTTGTTTTCTCGGTGAGATGGCGCTTTTTTCTGGTCACTGCTGTATTTTTTGTTGTGAGTTTCAATTTCTTATTCTTTTTTAATCTCTCTCTGTGAGAGGTTACTTCATTCGACTCCTCTCAATTCTCTCGCTGGCTTGA